TTATATATATATATATATATATATATATATATATATATATAAATTATATATATATATAACAACAACTACCTGTACTTATTACCCGTAATGGTAAAAGTAAACCACATTTTATCGCATCACTCTCGAATCATAATCAATTCGAGAATCATCCGAATATCATTGAATCCTAGATCATAAATAACAGCTAAAGCACGGGAACAGTGTCTCTATTACAGCCAGGCTAACATGTATTGCCTAATTAAGCTAAATGACCTTTTTTCCTTTTTGCCTTTGTATTTAAATTGCCTTAAATAACCCACTTTGACAGAGGGGTAAAGCCAGCCGCGATGGGCGTGCCTGGGCTGTTGACTGTGTTCGTGTTAGGCAGCTACTACCTTGGGTACAGACAACTGCTACTCTCTCCCTAGAATATAGCCCTGGAAAACAAAGTATTAGTTTATTAGTTTGCTTTTCAGACCTTTGATTTGGTAATGTTATTATTGATAATGAACATGGTTGGCATCATTCTCTCCAGGGCTTCAACAGGGCATTTGCCGGACAACGAACCAGCCTGAGCCAGTACCGCGAGCAGGTGAAAATCCAGTTAGAAGAGGAGATTAAGGAGAGGTTGAAGCGCGACAACTGCTGCATGCGCTTCTTCAAGTGTATCATGTCGAACCCGAAGTATCGCAGTCTGATCATGCGCACTGCGCGCAAGAGTGGTGTGAACAGTGTCAGTATCATAGACCGGGTCAGTCGCATCCTCTTTCCGGCGTCTTTCTGTATATTCAACGCTCTCTATTGGAGATCTCTGATAAGAATTGAGCAGGCAGATAGTTTTTCTTCTTTCGCGACTTAATTGTCACTTTGTCACTTGATCTAAGTTTTGTATTTGCAGTGTTCTTGTTGCCCACCTCACTCCTGCTCTCTCTCTCTCTCTCTCTCGTTCTCTCTCCTGCTCTCTCTCTCCCGCTCTCTCTCTCTCTCGCTCTCTCTCCTGCTCTCTCTCTCTCTCTCTCTCTTTCTCTCTCCTGCTCTCTCTTTCCTGCTCTCTCTCTCTCTCGCTCTCTCTCCTGCTCTCTCTCTCTCTCTCTCTCGTTCATTATCATATCATCTATCTGTCTAGTCTATTAATATCTGTCTATCTATCTATCTTATCTATCTATCTATCTATCTGTCTATCGATGCTGTGCTGTCTATCTTCTATCTGGTCTGTCGCATCATATATCTATATCTATGTACGCTATCTCTATCTCTTTCTCTCGTATCTCTCCTGCTTTCTATCTTCCCGATCTTGGCTTCGCCCTTCTGTCTTCCGTCTGATCCTTTCGCTGTCTTGTTCTCTCTCTCTCGCTCTCTCTCTCTCTTCTCTCTCTCTTCTTCTCTCTCTCTCTCTCTGCTCTCTCTCTCGCTCTCTCTGGTCTCTCCCCTATCTCCCGCTCTGTCTATCTATCTATATCTATCTATCTATCTATCTATCTATCTATCTATCCTATCTATCTATCTATCTATCTATCTATCTATCTATCTATCATTCTATCTATCTAATCTATTCTAATCTATCTATCGTATCTATCTATTCTATTATCTATCTGATCTTCTAATCATTATCTATCTATCTATCTATTCTATCTATCTATCTATCTATCTATCTTCTATCTATTCTATCTACTACTATTTCTATGCTATCTATCTGATCTATCTATCTAATCTATCTTATTCTATCTTCTATCTATCTACTCTATCTATCTATCTATCTTATCTAATTCTATCTATCTATCTATCTATTCTAGTCTATCATCGATCGTGCGATCGTCGATCGATCGATGCGACTCGATCGCGGATTCGATCGATCGATCGATGTCGATCGATCGATCGATCCGATCGATCGCATCTATCTATCTATCTATCTATCATCTATCTATCTATCTAATCTATTCTATCTATCTATCTATCTATGCTATCTATATATCTATCTATCTATCTATCTATCTATCTATGCTATCTATCTCTATGCTATCTATCTATCTTAATCTTAGTCTATGCTATCTATTATCTATCTATCTATTATCCTATCTATCTATCATATCTATCTATCTATCTATCTATCATATCTATCTATCTATCTATCTATCTATCTATATTTATTCTATTCTTCTATCTATCTATCTATCAATTATCTCTCTCTTTCTCTCTCTCTCTTTCTCTAATACTGATTTTGTATAATGGACAATAATTATATATTTTTACAAGTTCTATTTACAATTGATATGAATTGGTGGTTTTACTCAAAGCTTTTAATTACGCGTTTAATTAATACTCAAAAAGCTTTTAATTACGCGTTCATGCTTTAATTTAACCAATATATCCTCTAATAATATTTAAATAATTAATAATGTAAAATCAGTACGAATAGAATCTCCAAACATAGATCGCATCAGACGTGTACGTATAGCTCTGCGCACTTCACGGTATGTGTAACTGGAGACCGGTAACCACTGAATCGCTCTCTGCTCAATGTTGTCTTGAAAACGTGTCGAATCTCCGTGTCTGGTTACGGCGCGGCGATTGGCACTGGAAAAATATTTTATGTGCATGAAATTAATATGAAAATCGACAACGAAAGGCGGATGACGGATCAGTTGCGACTGACAATGAAGTTTGTGCAGTTTTATCTATCCCCTCTCTCTCTCTCTTCTCTCGCTCGCGCGCTCTCTCTGTCTATCTCTCTCTTGCTTTCTCTCTCTCTCTCTCTCTCTCTCTCTCTCTGGCTCTCCCTTCCTCTCGCTTTCGCGCACTCTCAGTCTCTCGCGTTCTCTCGTTCTCTCTCGCTCACCCTCGCGCTCTCTCTGTCTCTCTCTCTCTCTCTCTCTCTCTCTCTCTCCTGCTCTCTCTCTCGATCGCTCTCTGTCGATCGCTCTTTCTCGCCCGCTATCTCTCTCGCCCTCCCTCGCACTCTCCCCGCCTCTCTCTCACTTCATGTATATCTATCTCCACCTCTCTAGTTCGCTCGTTCGCTCTCACTTTCCCGGACTGTCGCTCTCTGTCGCTCTCTCTCTCTCTCTTTCGCCCTGTCTCACCCTCCCCACTCTCCCACCCTCTCTGTCTGCATATATGTTTTCTCCCTTTCTCTCTCTCTCTCTCTCTCTCTCTCTCTCTCTCTCTCTCGCTCAATCTATCTATCTATCAATCAATGTATCTAACTCTATCGCCTTTTCTTGCGCGCGCGCTCTCTCTCTCTCTCTCTCTCTGTCTATCTATCTGTCTGTCTATCTATCTGTCTATCTATCTATCTATCTATCTATCTATCTATCTATCTATCTATCTA